CAAGTCTAGGGGCATTTTGGTAAATCTTAAAAAGCCGAATACCAAAAGTATAGCTTTAACCAATTCCCTAATTTAAAACATTTTTGGTATATTCATACGTCGAATATTAAAATTGTGCTTAAAAGTCCAATCCCAAAGCATAGGGGCATTTTCGTAATTTTATTAAGCAATACTCAAAGTATTGTTAAAATACCAATTCCCTAATTGTGATGTCATTTTGGTAATTTCACAAGGATAACAATCAAAATAAAGCTTAGATACCAATTTCCAAGATATAGGGTCATTTCGGTAATTTATAGGGCGAATACGTAAAGTACCGCTAAAATACCGATTTCCAAGTTGTAGGGTCATTTTAGTATTTTCATAGGAAATAGATTTAAAATAACACTTAGATACCAATTCCCAATACATTGGGTCATTTCGGTAATTTTATAAAACAAATACGTAAAATATTGTTAAAATACCGATTTTCAAATATAAGTTCGTTTTGGTAATTTTATAAAAATAATAATATAAAAAAATGAAGTTTATAGACCAATCCCCAAGATATATGGTTATTTAAATTTTGGAAGCTAATACGCAAAGTATTGCTAAAATATCGATTTTCCATTTATAGGGTCATTTTGGTAACTAAACAAGATAAATAATCAAAATTGGGTCAAAGATTGCATTTTACAAAATATAATAGACTTGATGAAAGTCTCATAAAATTATATTGGATAAAAAAATATATTCTGGAACTTCAGGGGGTTAAATGTTAATCTTTGAAACTTAAACGTTTAATTAATATTAATAATATAAGTGCATCATATTGACAAAACTTGATGTTAGCTCACTGGTTAGTGCTCGAGGGTTTCATGGTTGAGGTCATGGGTTTGAATCCCGTCCTTATTGCCTTTATTCCCATTTCTTTTTAAATGTAAACGGACACGGGTCTTGGGCCGGGTCGACCCGGTCCTTGACCCAACAACAAAAACAGTAACAAAAACAAGGAAGAAGCAGCAGCCAAAACAGAAAAGAAAAGCAGTCAAGGCCTGCATGTTTTCAAGCTTATAAAAGCTTGAAAATGGTTCGTTACTTTATCTTTTTTCTTCATTCTTTTTGCGCCAAACTCTTGGTAATATTTTTACCAACACTTTGACATAAAGAACACTAATTTTCATCAAGAAATGAGTTTCATTTACTCATTTAAAGTTTGTTTTTAAAACTAAAACTCAACAACTTAAAAACATAAAAATCAAACAACGAAAACACAAATATAAGACATAATGCTACTGGGGTTTGATAGAGTACTTAAAACCAAAGTCATAGACATAAAAATCAAGAGATTTGGTTCAGAATCTCACCCAAATTCGGTGAAAAACCGAGATTTTCGATTCCGAACTTCAAACTCAGATTTCTCTCTCAAAACTCAACGGTTTTACTAGCTATTTGACTCCAAACGTTCCTAAACCAGAGCTCTACAATTTATATGCCAAGAGTTTTGGCTTATTAGTTGAAGAAATCGGCCAAATCGCGAGTTTTAGGCTGATGGGTCGTTTTCTTTAAACAGATATGTACTATTGGCAAAACAGGTCCCTCAACTTTGAAAAAGATAATATTTTCTCCCCTGAACTTTCTGATACTTACAACTAAACCCCTCCTGACGTGATATTTCACATTTTTGGTCCAATAATAAAACAAAACAATTCTATTTTATTTTCATTTTTGTCTTTCTTTTTTTATTATTTATTTATTTAAGATTTCTACTTTATAATATTTAATTAATTACGTAAATATTTTAACATTTTGAATAAATTTAAAAAAATATTTAAAGGCATATGTAATATTATCTATATATTTAATTAAAAAAATGGGTTTTACACCTACCCATGAGGACAACCATATCTAAGTGAGCATTAAATACACAAGGGTTTGTGTGGAGAGCTTAAAATGAAAATGAGATGGGTAGTTGTTGTGAGCCAAAAGAATTGACGAGAGTTGTGTTAGGATTAAAAGATTACAAGAATCCTGTTCTAAACCTCTAAATTCCGGGCATACCACGTAATCTATTAGTTCTCAATTCTTTCGAGACTAATATTGAAAAAGGCAAAGCCCAAACAATTCTTGTCACAACCCCACAAGCTACTCATTTATCTCTCAAGAGATAAGTGTTTCAATAACACTTGGGCCACGTAGCTCACAATCTATCAATTTCTCATTTGGAGAAAGTTGATATAAAATCAGAAGGATATATGCCCCCCCCCCCTTCAAGTCTTTTTGATTACGTATTGAGTCTGATAAATTTGTGTAGTCGTCACGGTTTATCTTTTTGAGCCTAAACAGAAGCATATGTTGCTTTATTTTTTTACACTACACAGATTTTGCAATTTATATGTTATTTTGCCGAAACATTCATAGATATACTTTTTATAAGATATCGATGATTGAATGGAAGACCTGGTGAGATGAACCTCATAAAGTCTCATATATGAAGTACATCAGTTGTACTGAGTATATTTGTTATATTCACAGATCAATCATTTTATAAGATTGAAAACAATTTCATAAGTTGAAATTGGTTGTTACATTCCCATCCTCTTAATCTGAAAAGATTATATAAGTGGATTTGAAAATATCTACTTACAATTTTATGAATTGACGACTTTCGCTAAAGATTTCATTCATTCTGATGTATGATGCTAATGATTCTCATTTCATCATAAGGGGGAGTATGTAATAATGAATGAAATGATCGATTCTGAATGTTATAAGGGGAGTATGTTATAAAGATCAAGGGGAAGTAACATCAAAAGTCGGTAAAAGACTCAAAGAAGTGTAACTGGAGATTATTCATGTACTACAATGTCTGAGATTTTTTTAATGTGAAGATCATCCTTACAAAAGTTTACTAATAAAGATTTCTCAATGAGAAGAGAATGTTTGTGAATTCTTGTCTGAAGAAATTCGTTTTTGGGGAGAATGTTAGATTCTATTTTCTGAAGAAGATTTCTTGAAGTTCATATCTTGAAGACCATTTCTGAAGTTCGTTGCTAATTTTGTTCTACATTGTCAAAAGAGAAAATCATTGTTGTTCTACATTCGAGATGGAGAATATTAGAAGATTTTCTCAACAAAAGATCATCTGAAGATTTTAAAGCAAAGTTAGTTTTGAAGTTTTTGAAGAAGTCATAAAGTGCTTAAAGAGACAAAGTTCAAACGAGATTCAAAGTGCGCAAAATCTTTCAAGCCTGAATACAAAGGGGAAGTTTGTTGGGTCTGAATTTCTGTATTAAATTGTATTCGTCTTGAAAAATAATATTGTCTATAATTGTTAAGACATCGTGTTTGACTTTGTATGTGATGTTTGACTTTGACTAGAAGGATTTTACTTTGACCCTATATAAAGGTTTTGTCTTTAGTGTAATTGTAGAGGAGCTCATTTGTAACAATACGTTCATATATTGAAGGTTTGACTTGTTGACATTTGATTCTGCTATGGATTCATAGAGATTATATGAAGATTGATCATTTTGTGGACTCTCAAGGGATCTCCACTCTTGGATGTATATTATGATGAGATGCACCAAGATGTATTGGATCAATCCTCGCATCAAGCGTGATTCGTGGATGAGTTTGAGTGTAAACGTGATTAATGGTCCAGATCTCTTTTTACGCTTCTTACCTTAACTCTTTCTCAAATGATCATTCGCCTATATATATATATATGTTTGTGTGTGTGTGTATATATCCGGGAATGTTTCTAGGATCTTCACAAACCTAAAATGACTAGGCAAATATCATTATTATATTCTCAAACCACATGTACACCCCATTTTTGTAGCTTTCTTTATGCATCCATTTTCCAATAATTGGATTATACTTCTACACTTCCATCTAAAAATGTTTCTCTTTAAACTCACCGACTTTATGTTATGAAATTACAAACATGGTAACTCATCATATTCTGTAAAATGAATTCAAGCTCTAACAATCAACATGTATGATGACATGATGAAGTTAGATTATTCTTGGAAACAATTTAATAGTAGCCTATGGTAATCCATTCTTCAAACCCACATTAAATTTTCTTATCTTTGTTGATTTCTGGAAGATTGAGCTCTATATTAGGCCAAAATCTTTGATCTACACTAATTACTTGAACACCGATATTGTAAATCATAGATAAGTTCTTAAAGAGGTGACAATTAGCTTGTGATTATGCACATATTTCCATATATAATAAACATAAACATACATGTATTTGTACAAACTAGGCAAGGTGACTTACTTCTGAACATGATATTATGACGATGAAGTGTAGACATAAAAAAGCGAAACAGTGGGAAAATTTCGAAAACATAAGAACAAGTATTCAACATCCAGTCTCTTCGGTTCCTTACCTTGATCTCCATCAACTATCATCAATCATCTTCTCACTTACCCTCTATACCTTGATATATGCATGTTCTTGGTAGACGATTAGATGGTAATAGAGGGAGATGTTTGAAGTGTTGCCCTTTTTGGCAATTACTGCCCTAAGCCATTGCACAACTGACCCTTAAGTGTATAAATGTCTTAAAGAGGAAAAATAAAAAGAGATAACGTGAACGAGAGAAAAGAGAAAAAAAAATACACGAGTGAATGTCTACGGTTAAAACATATTAAAGTGTACTTTCTTTAAAAGAAAGAAACATATGAAGAATTGAACTGATTTTCGAATTGTCATTCTAGATATTCTTTAATGTCTAAGTTATGCATTGAATGCGAGAAACATAATGTAACGATAAATGCTTATTATGTCATAACCAAGTTAGTCCTAAAAAGCAACAAAAATGTGACGAAGGGATTAAATTTAAATGAGGGAGTCAACATGAGGACTTAAACAAGAGTTTTTAACCATTAGGGACGATCAATGTACTTTAACCATAAGTATAAGGACTATTTGTGTAATTTCAGACGAATGAAAAGACTCATTTCATGGACCGGAGTGCAAAAACCGCCTTTCAATTTCACATCGAGTGTAGAAAGAGGGAGAGGACTACCCTTCTGTATAAAAGCAGCTCTCTTCTCCGATTCTGAGGGTTAACCAAAACACACACACAAACGAGAACCCTTTTTCTCTCTACTCTCTTGGCTTTGGGCCTCATTCTCGTACACATAAACCCTTTACTCTCTTTCTTGATTTTCAATTTACTTTGATGTTTATGAATCCCTTGTTTATCTCTACACAACCAGGTCAATCTTTACGACCCTCTTTGTTTTTCTATATTTTTTTATGATTTAATCGATTATCTAGGATTTGTTTGATTAGAAATTGATGTCTTTTGTGTTCGTGTTGCAGTATAAAGGAGTGTAGAGGAGTAGAAGAGGAGTGGCTGTGAAATCTTATGGCGGGTACCCTAAGATCGAGCTTGCCGTCGAGGTTACGGCAACTTTTATCCGGTGAAGGACCTATCGGTCCGAATGTTAAACTTGACTCTGAGACTGTAAGAAATTTTGCGCCCTTTCAGTAATTCTTCGCCTTCGTGAAGTGTTTATGCGTGGTTTTATTGGGGGTTTCATGTTTTTTGGTGTTAAAATTTGGTCTATTAATTGAAGATAGGGGCTACATTTTGTTTGTTTCCAAGTTTTTATGTTATTGGTTAATTAATTGACGTGTAATCAGTGTATTCTACGATTTGAATAGCATGATTAGAAGGGTTTTTCTTGGTACATGTAGCACTCGTGTATGTTCATGTACGGTTTGGAGTTAAACTGGATCCGCACTTTTCTAGGGGTTATAGTTGTTAGCCTCATCCATTAAAAAAATCAACAATTCGATTTTTGATATGATATCTAGTACTTGTCAAATGTAATTTAGATATGGCTTTTCTTGCAAATGCTATTGGAGTTATATTATTATTTTTCTTCCCTGGAAGTTTTAAAKCCATATATCAATCTGGAAGTTGAAAAGTAACTTGTTGAGTGAYATATAAATTGAATGTATAGCTCCTTATATTGTCATTGATTATTAATTGATTTGCAATCACAGTGGCGGTGAAACATATTATATGATATAGAAGAACATTATTACGTCTTGGAGATACTTTTCAAATTTAGTACCAGCTTGTTAATTTGCTGCTGCCTTGCCAACTCATTAGCTATTTAAAAGAAATTGTCTTTTTTAAACTTCTATGATGCCATTGCTTCTTAGTTTATCTGAAGGCAAAGTTGCATTTTGAAGGCATTATGAGTTCACATCACAACTTCAAATAGCATGGTTTTAAATTTTGTACATGTATGTTACATGACCCTGTTTATGTACTATTGGAAGATACACATGGGATTTATGTGCTTGAAGTAGGTTTCAGGCTTCTATGTGCTTTTCCTACCCTTCTCCCTTAAGTTGATGCTTCAAATATGTTAATTGATTTTGTCATTTTGTATTCTTCTTTCGTTTATCTTGTTTATATCATAAAAGCTACATATTTGTTACCCTCTTCTTACCTAATTCTATTCTGTTCTGTGGTCCATATATTGTTCAATTTTGTAGCATAAGATGATGATTCACTGAACACATAATGGGTTCTTTGATTTGAAATGGTGATGTGCAGATAAAGCAGAACAAATTTTAGGAGCCATTCTTTTATTCCATGAGCATGAATATATAATATAGTTCCACAATTGACACAGGTGTCATCCCGAACTAGATAGAACAACATAAAGAGAAACATGAAACTTTTTCGTTTGCTTTCACTCTAACACTCCTATATGATTATATGGGGCTCACAATGGGATATGTTAGGAGAAGGCAATTTTATCAGCAAGGTATTAGATAGGTGATTGGATCACAGAAAGTGCAGCCCTGTATAAAAGCTTGTTCAATCAACTCTTAGAGCAAATTATCAATTATTTTAGAAACGTCTCAATGGACAATTAAGAGAATTATAACAATGCCATACAATCAGGCACATGGCATTCCAGTGCGTTTTCTATTATTTCCCTCTTCTTAGTTCATTAATCAATAGTTCTTATCCAAAACACGAGAAGTGGGCTGTAGGTGGATCTTTGGACCTGCATCACCAGGAGGTGTTGAAATGCTTGTCCCAAGTGGTGAACCTCCAATGCCAAGTTAGAAACTTAGAATTTGGAGAGATCATACAAGATAATGTGAAGATATAACCTAGATAATTTAGATTATGTGTTGTTGCATACTTCTAACAGACGAGATGTTTTAAAGGTTAATACGTCTTTTTCTCTTCTAGGGTGCAACTTTATAGTCTCATATAATAGTGATGATTGCATGTTAAAAACCCAAGTATACCTGCGCCATGGCACATTTCTTGAACTTTATACTTCAGGTATAACTTCATATTTTTTAAGGGATAGAGTCTGCAGTTCATGGTTGACATAATTTAGTGCATTGAGTACAAGAAAATTATAAAAACTGGTAAATGTTAACCAATTAGGAAGGTAGAGAAAATATTGCGGGTGCCGGGTGCCTTTCATTTCACAAGGATGATTCTATCACCTAACTTTTTCATGTTTATAACTTGGGGATATTGTTCTATTCTCGTAATGTGTAAAAAGGGATCAAGAATAATTATTGATTTGCTTATATGTTTTTCTCTTTTTGTCTTAACTACATTAATCTCTGCCATTGTTCTTTTTGCAGCCTCCAAAAGTGAAAGCATTCATTGACAAGGTGATTCAGTGTCCATTGCAAGACATAGCAATCCCTCTCTCTGGTTTTCACTGGGAGTATGGCAAGGTGATAAAGATAATACCTTGTATCATCTTTTGAATTAATTTACATCCTGTAGTTTGCTTACCTTTTCCATTGTTTCCAGGGAAATTTTCATCATTGGAGGCCTCTGTTTATGCATTTTGATACATACTTCAAGACATACTTGTCTAGCAGGAAGGACCTACTTTTGGCAGATACTCTAGAAGATGATACTCCTTTCCCTAAGCAATCGGTTCTCCACATCCTGCGTGTGATGCACATAATTTTAGAAAATTGTCACAACAAAAGTTCCTTCGATGGTTTAGAGGTAAGGTGAAAATGGTCGAATAAAGAAATTTTATTTTGGTTCATAATATGATATGCTGCCTATCCATATACTGCTGTTTTATATCTGTACATTTGCTGTTTCTTTATTGGAAGGCATATTTGTGCTCTTATTTTTTTGAATGCCTTTATATATTCTCCTCTGAAGTTACCTTTGTTTGTTCAGCATTTCAAGCTCTTGCTTGCGTCAACAGACCCTGATATTCTCATTGGAACCTTGGAGACTCTTTCAGCATTAGTGAAAATAAATCCCTCAAAACTTCATGCAAGTGGGAAGCTGGTAGGATGTGGTTCAATAAACAGTTGTCTTTTGTCATTAGCACAAGGATGGGGAAGCAAGGAAGAGGGTTTGGGACTGTATTCATGTGTTATGTTAAATGAAAGAACCCAAGATGAAGGTCTAAGCTTGTTCCCATCAGATGTACAAACTGAAAGTGACAATTCTCAGAACCGTGTGGGTTCTACCCTCTACTTTGAGTTGCATGGTACAAATAMCCCAAGTACAGGTGATSGTGGTGACATGATCACTTCTACCAGCACGAGCATTATTCACATTCCTAATCTTCACTTGCATAAGGAGGATGACATATCTTTGATGAAGATGTTGATTGAGCAGTACATCATACCTCCTGAGCATAGGTTCTCGTTGCTGAGTAGGGTTAGATATGCTCATGCCTTCCGMTCTTCTAGAATATGCAGGCTGTACAGCAAGATATGCCTTCTTGCCTTCATCGTCCTTGTTCAATCAAGTGATTCTCATGATGAACTGGTGTCTTTTTTTGCTAATGAGCCAGAATATACAAACGAGTTAATAAGACTAGTGAAATCTGAAGACACTATACCTGGAACAATTCGTACACTTGCAATGCATGCTCTTGGATCCCAGCTAGCGGCATATTCATCATCTCATGAGAGGGCACGCATTTTGAGTGGGTCAAGCATCAGCTTTGCTGGGGGGAATCGCATGATYCTCCTTAATGTGCTGCAAAGGGCGATTTCTTCTTTAAATAACTCCAGCGACCCATCATCTATTGCTTTTGTTGAAGCACTTCTCCAGTTCTATTTGCTTCATGTGATATCCACRTCAAGTTCTGGGAGTGTTATACGGGGATCGGGAATGGTCCCAACATTTTTACCTCTTTTAGAGGACTCAGATCCTTCACAYATGCATCTTGTCTGTTTAGCAGTGAAGACTCTGCAAAAGCTGATGGACTACAGCAATTCAGCCGTCACTCTCTTTAAAGACTTGGGAGGAGTAGAGCTTTTAACTAACAGACTGCAGATAGAAGTAGTTAGGGTGATTGGTTCAGAAATAGGAGATGATAGTTCAATGAGCATTGGGGAGTCCTCAAGCACTAATGTTGATTGGCTTTATTCACAGAAGCGGCTCATCAGGGTTTTGTTGAAGGCACTTGGTTCTGCTACTTATGCTCCAGCAAATTCAACAAGACCTCAGGGTGCTCATGATGTTTCTTTGCCTGCCACTCTCTCAATGATCTTTGAGAATGTGGATAAGTTTGGAGGTGATATATATTCTGCAGCTGTTACTGTTATGAGTGAAATGATTCATAAAGACCCCACTTGTTATGGTGTGTTGGAGGAATTGGGTCTTCCTGATGCGTTTCTAGAGTCGGTGAAAGCTGGAATTCTGCCTTCTTCGAAAGCTCTTACATGTGTTCCTAATGGTATTGGGGCTATTTGTCTCAACACCAAGGGCCTAGAGGCAGTCAGAGAAGGTTCAGCTTTAAGGTTTCTGGTTGATATTTTCACTGCTAAGAAATATGTACTTGCAATGAATGATGGAATTGTGCCTTTGGCAAATGCTGTTGAGGAGCTTTTGCGTCATGTCTCTCCATTGAGAGGTACTGGTGTAGATATGATTATTGAGATCGTTAATAAAATCGCTTCAATAGAGGACTGCAAGGGTAGAGGACAATTGGGAAAAGTTAATGAGAGCAATGCTATGGATATGGACATCGAAGACAAGGAAAATGTAGGTCMATGTCTAGTTGTTGCCTCAGATTCAGCCTCAGAAGGAATTGGTGATGAACAGTTTATCCAGTTATGCATCTTTCATGTGATGGTGTTAGTACACCGAACAATGGAGAATGCTGAAACATGCCGATTGTTTGTTGAGAAGGTAGGAATTGAAGCATTGCTRAAGCTTTTGTTACGACCAAGTATAACCCAGTCATCAGAAGGGATGTCCATTGCTCTGCATAGCACCATGGTTTTTAAGAGTTTCACTCAACATCACTCTGCTCCTTTAGCACGTGCTTTCTGTTCTGCTCTCCGGGATTATCTGAAGACAACTTTGATGGGATTCAGTGCTCTTTCGGGATCCTTTCTGCTAGATCCCAGAGTTACTCCTGATGCTGGAGTTTTTCCCTCACTTTTCCTTGTTGAATTTCTTTTGTTTCTTGCTGCCTCGAAAGATAATCGATGGGTTACCGCATTGCTTCAAGAATTTGGAAATGATAGCAAGGATGTYCTGGAGGATATTGGGCGCACTCATCGTGAGATTTTATGGCAGATTGCACTAGTTGAAGATGCCAAGTTTGAAATTGAGGATGGCAGTGCTGGTTCTGCTRACGGATCACGACACTTGGAGTCTAATACTTCAGAATYTGARGAGCAAAGRTTCAATTCYTTTAGGCAATTTCTTGATCCTATACCTAGGAGAAGGATGTCAGGATGGAGTTTTGAGTCRCAGTTTTTTGATCTAATTACTCTATATCGCGATCTCACTCATGCYTCTGGTCTTTCGCAACGACARAGCACKGATGGTCCTTCAGCCCTACATCTTGGAGGCAGTCACCAATCACAACCATCTGGGTCTTCAGATGCTGCAGGTGCCAGTRGTCCRAAGGAAGCTGACAAGCAAAGATCATATTATTCTTCTTGTTGTGATATGATGCGGTCACTCTCTTTGCACATTATGCATTTGTTTCAAGAGCTAGGGAAGGTGATGTTGCTTCCTTCTCGAAGACGGGATGACATGGTGACAGTTACCCCTRCTTCAAGATYAGTGGCTTCTACATTTGCTTCCATCACTTTGGATCATATGAACTTTGAAGGTCATGTAAAGCCTTCTGGATCAGTGGCATCCTGGTCACCCAAGTGTCGCTACCTGGGTAAGGTTATAGATTTTATTGATGGCATTCTACTGGAAAAGCCTGACASTTGTAACCCTGTCCTGTTGAATTGTTTGTATGGTCGTGGTGTACTTCAGTCAGTTTTGACTACGTTTGAGGCTACTAGTGAGTTGCT